TGTGTGTGTGGTCGGCCATCTGCTGCAGCTCCTTCTGTCGGTCCTGCAGGAGGCGCTGCAGCTCCTCCACCTGAGGGGCCACGCCCCCCTCCACCTCCAGATCCAGGCCTGGGAGGGGAGGGAGGTCAGGGCCCACACGTGCACACGCACACGTGCACACACACTCACACACACACTCACAGACATGCACAGACACACACACACATGCACAGAGACACTCACACACACATGCATGCACAGAGACACTCACACACACATGCATGCACACGTGCACTCACACACACACAAACACACACACGTGCACACGCACACGTACACACACACACACTCACTCACACACACACACACAAATGCAAAGACACACACAAGCATGCACACATGCACACACCCACACAAACACGCACGCACTCACACACATGCACAGAGACACACACACTCACGCACACACACTCACACACATGCACAGACACACACACACGCATGCACACACACACACACACATACACTCACATACAAACACACTCACACACACTCACACAAATGCACAGACACACTCACACACATGCACACGCAGACACTCACACACTCACTCACACACACACACACTCACACACTCACACAAATGCAAAGACACACACAGGCATGCACACACGCTCACACACGCACGCACACACACACACACTCACACACACATGCACAGACGCAGACTCACACACACACACGAACACTCACACACACACCGTCTCTGTGCACGTGCCCTGTTCTTGTGTGTGTGTGTGTGTGTCTCCATGGCAAATTCAATATGCTGGTTTCCATGGGGACCAGCTGTGTGCTTCAGAGAACAGTTTCCATGGCAACGCGCCCCCCGTTCCCCCCTCCCCCCCCTTTTCCCCGACCCCCCCCCTCCCCCCCACTCAGCATCCGTGAGCAGCCGCCCCCCCCCCCCGGCCTGAACGCTGTTCTCCCTCTGGTTTTCTTTCTTTCATGGTAAATATCTAAAGGTGACAAACGGACGGCGTCCTGACCGCTCCCTGGTTGGCCGAACGCCTCCAGGTGTCTGACTCCATCTAATCCTGGTCCATCCCCTTCACGGACCGTAAAAAACGACCTCAAACCCAGCCACACCCCCCAAAACAAATGCTAACCCAGCCCTGTTTAATTAGCTGTAGCTAACCGAGTTTAGACTGTTGGAATCCTCCCTGTTCCCCAAAGAAACCCTAAGAATCCCAAAGGAAAGAGTAAGGCTAAGGAGTTTAGACTGTTGGAAAACTCCCTAAGAATCCTAAAGACACCCTAAGAATCCCAAAATAAAGAATAAGGCTGTAATGACCCACCAGAACCCCGATGAGATCCCTAAAATACCTCAATCCCTCCTAACCGAGCACAGCCAGGACCCCAGACCCTCCTGAGAGAGTCTGACTCCAGGCTGAGTTTCCAGAACCTTTAAGCCTGTAATGCCAAATGTATCATATTTGATACATACTGTTTCTGAAATGCATAATTTAAGGGTAAAAACTTTGCTCAAAATCCTATTGTACACAATCAGATACACCTGATAACAGAGGGCAGAAGACTACACAAAAAATAATCTTGACTTATCGCATAGTAATAAATTATTAATATCAAAAATGTATTTCTGTTTTTTCTTTTTACATATTTTGTCAAAAGGCCAAATAAGGAATTCAAACAAAAAAAAAAGTAATTTTCTGTTTTGTTTTATTCTTGGATCAGGCTTTAAAGGATTGTTGGCTTCTTGAATCCGGTATCCAGAGGTTGCTTAAGATCTGTTGTAACGCAGATAAAAACGAGCATCCACTGGAGTACTTCCTGCTATTGGAAACCCCATCAAAAGTCTCCCAAACATCTCCCCAGTCCCTTTAACTATTTTGGTGTAGTCTTCTACTGGCTGTTATCAGGTATATCTGAATGTGTACAACAGGGGTTTGAGCAAAGCTTTTACCACTGAATGATGCAAAAAGTCTCAGATCCAAAAGACTTCAGAAACCGTATGAAATATGACACATTTGGCATTATAGGGTTAAAACCCCTGACCCTCTTTATTCTCCTCTGTCCACACCACAAGCTTTAGATTCTGCCAGCAGAAAGCTCAGAGCCTGTTTGGGTCGCTCCCTCTCACCTGACGCCTGGACCTCTGAGATGTACTGCTGCAGGTCGTGGCCCTGCTGGATCACCTCATAGATCATGTTGTTCATTGCCAGCCTCCGTTCCATGTGCCTGGAGGGTAAAGTAAGTTTATTTTAAAGCACATTTCAAAGTGTTTCACGGAGAATTTAAAAGCAGAAAAACAAGAAAAGAAAAATAAGCAAAATATGACAGATGAAAAGTGAAGGGTGCAGATAGAATAGATCCAGTTTAAAATACATAAAAATAAATAAAATAAATACATAAAATAAATCGAGTTTCCATCTGTAAAGTTTTCAGCTGGATTTAAACATTCAGAGTCGGGTTCTGTCTCAAATCTTCAGGAAGGCTTTAGGAGCCTGGAGCAGAAATGAAGCTTCATCTGGTTTAGTTCTGACTCTGGGACCCATCGGGAGACCAGAACCTGGTTTAGTTCTGACTCTGGGCCCCATCGGGAGACCAGAACCTGGTTTAGTTCTGACTCTGGGCCCCATCGGGAGACCAGAACCTGGTTCTCAGAGTCCAGCTGGCTCATCTGGCTCTAACATGTCAGATCATGAAGAGACTTGTACTCAATCAGAGCTGATTTAGAGTCTACTCTCTGAGCTACAAGAAGCCAGAGCAGAGACCTGAGACCTGGACTGATGTGGTCCTATTTCCTGGTTCTGGTCAGAGCTTGAAGGCCCGTTTCCGGGCGGCTTTGGGGCCTGATGTGGGCGTGTTTACGTGTTTACCTGTGGATCCGCTGCTGGGCCAGGGTCAGGGCCTCGGGGCTGGCCTCCACCAGCCGGTTCTGGCCCAGGGCCAGCTGGTCCGGGCCCGGCTGGTCCGGGTTGGACTCGGGTCCCCGGGTGGAGGAGGCCAGCTTCTCGGAGGAGAAGTCCTGGGACTGTTTCTGGAGGTCCTGCTTCCAGGCGTCCATCTCCCCCGTTACCTGGAACCCAGAGAGAGAGGGTCAGGAGCCGGGGGGGGTTTAGGAGAGAGGGAGGTCAGAGAGAGGCAAGGCAAGGCATTTTTATTTATATAGCGCAATTCATACCAAGCGGCAACTCAATGTGCTTTACATTAAGACAAGACATTTTAAATAAAAGAACAGCATAAAACAGCATTAAAAAAACAAACAAACCAACCAAATTTTTTTTTAAAAAGGTTAAAACACAGTTAAAAGGAGGAACAAAGGAAAAAGCAATATGTTTGTTACAGCTCCATTGCTTTTGCAAAACCAAGATTACAATATTAAAAGAACATATTAAAAAAATAATAATAATAAAAAAATAAAAAGATTAAAAAAATAAAAAATAAAAAAATAAAAATAATAATAATAATAAATAAAATCAAATATTTAAAAGTTAAAAATATATTTAGAGGAGCCCACCTCCAGCGTGCACTGCTGCAGGATGCGGAGCTGCAGGTAGACGTCCAGCCGGATCTTCCTCTGGTGGAAAAGCTCCTCCAGCTGGGCGTGAGATTCCTCCAGCTGCTGCAGCACCGTCTCCACGTGCACCACCGAGCTGCCCTGGGGCCTGAAAAGCAGGAGATCATCATCCACATCCACTCAAAACAACACACAATCTGGTGATCCTTAAAGGAGACATATTCTACCCTATTTCAACAACTTAAGCTTGTTCCCTGGTGTCCTAATGTAACGTCTGTGACAAGCTTTGGTCCAAATCCCATAAGGATGAAGTCCAATAGCAGTTCAGTCCCCCTGCCTAACCCTAACCCTAACCCTAACCCAAAACAGCCCCGTTCAGAGCGCTCGCTTTGGAGTGCCTGTCTCTTTAAATGCAAACGAGACACACGCAATCCACCCACTTCTTCAGGGAGGCGTGCCCACGTCAGCTCTCAGCTTTTCAAATTGAACAATAACGTCCTGTTATTGTGCCCAGCTAGTTCAGTTTGAAACAGATGCTGTACTGTAGCGTTTTAATTCTATTTCTGATCGAAATCATCACAAATGTACTCGCCACTCGCCTTTTTTCTGCGTTGTGCAACAGTAATCATCAACCGTGATAAACACGGTGCCGCATATGACGTTAGCTGTAGCCTCGCTAACGTCAAAAAACAAAAAACAAACCCAGAAACAATGGTTTACAATGTAAATTAAGACTCAGTGTTGTGTAAGAGTCACCTATGTGTTAAAAACTAATTGTTCCTGTTGAGAAAGGGGGATGTAATGGTATCAAGGTAGGAACCAATGTGTTGATTTGTTCCCAGGGGGAAGAATAAAGATTTGTGCCGTCCCGGCTAAGAACCCACAAAACATAACAGAGCATCACAGAACCGTGTTAAAGAGGGAAACAAACGCCACAAAGGACACGTCTGTTCCTGCCTCCCCGGGGGGTGAGTGACTGTTAGAATAAGTTATCATGCATTCTCTGATATATATGTGTGTGTATGTAAGGGTTTAACTGTGTGATAGCAATAAATTGTTATCATAAGTACAAGTTGGTTTGCAGATATGAGAAGCTGAGCCAGTGGTGACCACTGGTGACCACATTCCTTTTAGGCCGCGTGAAACAAAGAAACAAGTGCACTTTGTTTTACTGTCAAACCAGTTGCATCCTGTGATTAAGAACAATGTGTATTAACAATAAGGCTGCAATCATGTGTGCTACTTCTCTCATTAGTGAGAGATGTGGTAGGAACCAAATAAAAGGAGAGGAGAGCAGGAGAGAGCTCAGAGTAGGTTGGAGATTGTAAGGTCTCTCAGCCAGTTTTTCACTGAACTTACTGTGTCTGTGTCTATTTTTGTCCTCTTACAACAGCGGATTCAGAAGTGTTTAGGGTTAGCCCTAACCCTAACCCTAACCCTAACCC